CTGAAACACTCACCCAGGACATTCATCAGTTTAATTTATTTAAGATTTATTTTTATTTGATGTGTGTGCCTGTACGTATGTATGTCTACCATGTGTGTGCAGGTGCCTGTGGAGGGCAGAAGAGGGGGCTAGATTCTAGGCAGTTGTGAGCCATTTTGTAGGTGCTGAGAACTGAACCCAGGTCCTCTGCAAAAGCAGCAAGTGCTCTTAACAACCAAGCCATCTCTTCAGCCCCAAGCAGTAATTTTCTTATAGTTACTCTTACATAAGGACTTATAGTCAAAAATATGCCAAGCTAGCTGGATATGGTGGTGCATGCCTTTAATCCTAGCACTCAGGAGGCAGAGGCAGGTGGATCTCTGTGAGTTCAAGGCCAGCCTGGTCTACATAGTGACTTCCAGGACAGCTGGGACTACAGGGAGGCCCTGTCTCAAAAGGCCAAATAAACAAACAAACAAACAAACAAATAGATAAATAAAGCCAAACCATTGATCCAGTGAAAAGCTGTGTTGTATGTGTTCAGAAGTTAAGCAGTTTAATAACATCACCAGAACACCATTGTCAGCTGTTACACAACAGTGACAAACATTATCACTGTAACTTGTTGTGAGGTTAGGTGTAGAACCCACTTGTAGTGTCATGTCAGTGCTCAAAAAGTTTCAGATTTTGGAGTACTCTGAATTTTCAGGTCTTACCTGTTAGTAAAATGTTATCAAAAGGACAGCCAACAAAGAGTTATAATCCTAAATAAAGGTATTTCAGGCAAACTTTTGATTCCTTGGGACTTGGTTCTTTGAATTCTGTATTTCCTGAGATCAGGTGAGGTGGGGAAAGCCTACCTTAATTTCCTGGAAATCCAGAAGGCTGGAAGCGTTAGACATTTCTCCCAGCATCAACAGTCACTTGGTGCTAGTCAGGATTAAACATTGGCAATTTGTAACTGTAGCATGGGAACGGCAGGCTCTTGCTAACTTACTGCAGAGCATAAAGGGTGGGAAATGGGAGTGAATTCTGCATGTGCCATACACTGGAGGCCTTTAGCTCTCTCTGCTTTAGCAAGGTGGCTTACAGCTGCTGGGTGGAAAGTTCTTTCTTTATAGTTTGAGTTCCCATTGCCTTGGCCCCTGACCTGGAAGTTGGCAGGAGGACAGTTTAAAGTGCTCCCTCTTTAGTGTTTAACATGAGCAATCTGTCACTTTGTAGGTCACCTTGTGCACTTGAGTCCATGGTCATTGCTAAAGGCATGTTTCCAAAAGCTCAGAATTTACAAAGAATAAAGTTACCCCTAATCTGTCTCTCATTTATAAAGAGGTCCATACCAGGCACCTGATATGTGAGTTCATTTAGTATTCAATCCCATATTTATGAAGCAAATGTGAAACAGCACAAAACGGTCCCTTAGTGACAGAGCCATCACTCTACTGTGTTGGAAGAAATGGCTGTCTTAGAGTGAGTACCATTTTCAGCTCCCATGCTCCTGCTTCCAGAGAACCTGACCTAATGATTTATAAAGCCAAGTTGTGCTGAATGGTTAATAAACACTTGATAAGGTAAGGCACACTCAAGGCTGGGTGTGGTAGCATATGCCTGTAATTCCAGCACTTAGGAGGTGGTGGCAGAAGGACCAGGATCCTTGGCTATGAGTTCAAGGTCAGCCTTTTTTACATGAGACCCTGTTCCCCCCCCAAATACTGCACAAACAACAAAAAAACCAAGCCCCCCAAAAGCACACTCAAATGAAAATGTTCTACAATTAGTAGAGATGGTTGTAAAACTTTGTGGATAAAGACCACTGAATTGGATATTTTATTTCTGCAGCACTGGGAATTAAATCTAGGGCCTCACACATGCTGTACAAGTGCTCTACTACTGAGCTATATTCCAGGTCCTGAACTGTGTACTTTAAAAGGGTATTATGGTATGTGAACTGTATCTCTGTAAGTTTTTGTGAAGGTATCAGAGAGATGACAGGATTTACTTTTTTATAAGCACACTGGGAACTAGGATTCACCTTAAGAGCCTTGGCGTAAGTGTGTGTGTACTTTTTGCTGTTCTTCAAGGCAGAACAGCCTTTCAACCTCCCCTTAGGGCACCAAAGCTGGGGCCCTGGAGTCAAAGCCAGCTCTGCCTAATTCTAGCTGCGTGTCCTTGGGAAGCTACCTTCCGGTACCTACCTCATGTCATGAGGCCTTAAAATCACCTTGCAGGAACTCAGCACATGCTGCCTGTTACACAGAAGCCTGCAGACCGGTGAGCAGAGGCCCACTGATCCCTCCTATGACCCACTTCCTAAGACTGCAGTACATCCTCAACACTGGGCAATAGGATCCTTAGAGGATGCCCCGTGGTGGTTTCAATAGAAGTGTCTCCCATAGGCTCCAAGTATTTAAACAGTTGTTCCCCAGTTCATGGCACTGTTTGGGGGAGGGTCAGGGAGCCTTTAGGAGGTGTGGCCATACTGGAGGATGTACATCACTAGGGGTGGGCTTTGAGAGTTCTTAAACCTCATTCTGTCATTCCCACTGCCACTTTCACTCTCTGCTTCCTAGACCTGCTTGAAAATGTGAGCGCTCAGCTTACTGCTTTAGCTGCCTCCTGCCATGCCTTTCCACCATGATGGACTTTTATCCCTCTGGAATCGTAGCCCAATAAACTCTTCCTTCCATAAACTACCCTGGTCACGGTGTTTTATCAGAGTAACAGAAAAGTAACTAATACAGTTCCCAAGCCCTGTACGTACGTTTTATCCGAATTAAACTTGGAAGCACAATCAGTACTCACACTTTGGATATTGCTTTTTAATTTCTTTGCTATAATTTCTAGATTCTTCTCACCAATCCATCCTATATCCTAAACTCAGCTGACCCTCAGGAAAAACTAAGCCACTTATTACCTTTAACATAGGTACAATAGCCAACCTCGTCTCATCTAACATTATATGCTAATGTAACTTGGGTCTTTGATTTTCATTGTCACTCTAAATTTCATTTATCAGACTACACTGTTTAAGTAATAGAAGTGTTGCAATTTTTACTATTTTCTGGGGGAAACTCTCACATTTTAAAAACTTTAAAAAGTTTCATAGGTTCGTATTTTTCATATAAACTGTACAATTCTGGTTTTGCCCAAGAAGATGCCCCATTGTTTGGGAAAATGTGAGTGCTTTCTCTCACTATTAACTATCTTAACATGCACATCTACCTCCATCTCTCCAAACAGCCCTTTGTCAAGTTTCAGAAAGTTATTTCTTGAACATGATGGCAATCTAGCTGTGACATTAATCACCCTATTGATCACCAGGACTGATTTAGTTGATGTGGCTGGCTAGGCAGTTGTTCCCTTCCTCCCTCACCACTCCATGTATATCCTTCCCAAAAGAAGCTATGGGCTTGGTCAAAGATGACCTTCCCTAATAAAATGATCTGTCTTTGATGGTCAAGGGCCTAGAGTAGCTGTGTTCCTTTACCAGAACCTCCAAACAGACTCTCAAGAAATAGTTATATCTTGGAATTTTATGGATTTTGTACATATTTTTATTTTGAATGTTAAAAAAAATCTACCAACTTTTCTTTAATAGTTGTCCTCCTCCAAAAATATTCATTTTTCAGGAGTTCCTTTATGGTTTCTTGGGAGGGTATCTGTTAAGGTTTCTTGTTTCTGTTTCTAAGAATTCTCACTTTTGTTCAAAATGATGATTCCTGAACAATGCTGAGTAGAAATGGAAGCTAGTGTTGTGCCACAAAGTAGAGGGCATACCCTAGAAACAAATTAGTTCTTTGCATTATTTCTGAATTTGGTCTCTAAGAGCATCTGACTCATAGAAAACCTGAAATACATACACTATGAGAAAATTAGAATTTTCATAAACATTATTCTTAGGAATGATTGCTCACTACTGTCAGCTGTATGGCCAGAGCTTATGATAACATAAGCTACTTCTCCCATTCAAGTACTAACCAGGCCTGACCCTGCTTAGCTTCCGAGATCAGATGAGATCGGGCACGTTCAGGGTGGTATGGCCGTAGACAACATAAGCTACTTTTAATGCCCTGTCTATCAGCAGAACCTAGAAGGACTGACTGGTCCCTAAGCTTCAGAAATTGAAGCCCAAGGAAGTGACCACAAAGTTGGTAATTCTAGTCCTGCCCGCCTGGCTCCTGGTCTTTGCTGGTATTGTCACCATGGCAGTGGATAAGTCTATGAGTTATGTACAGTTGTGTGCCTATCTCCTCTGAATTGAAATTAGAAGGCTCCTAAGCTTGTGGAAGTGAAAAAAAAAACTAACATTCCTGAAACTTACAAGATTCACAAGGCCCTTCTAGGGTTTCAGAGCAGTAAACAGTTGTGGGGGAGAGGAGTCTCCCACTGGCCAAGCTGTCTGTCAAGTCAAACATGACTTGCAGAACATTCAGAAACTCCAGGAATGGAGCATTTGTGAGTCACCACCTATGCTGGGGTGGGCATTTACATACTGTAGACACCTTTGAGCCATCCATGCTCCTGTGAATAATCTCTCGCCCAGACTCCTGAAGAAACCTCAGTAAACTTGCTGCTTCTCAAAGTTAGGCTGGGTTTCTGTCATTGTCAGTGAACAGATGCTTGTTCATATCTCCCCAGGAAAAGTCACACAGCAGATACAAAAAAGCAGGTTTGGGTTTCAGCATTCTTGAAAGTAAGAGCCAATACTCCTGTTATAGTTATTTGAATGCTAAACTGCTATGTGAAACAGCCTCATAAATTATACCAAGGTCAGCTATTTCTTCTCTTATCCAGCAATTACTTGCATCAGTATTTGTATGAAAGCACCTAATTGAACCTCTGGTCACAGTTGGCTCCACTGGGCACCGACAACTGAAGAATTTTTTAATGAACCCAAGAGATACAATACCTATCCAGGAATTAATGGGGCTTTCCCCCACTAGTTCCAGGTTTAAAAATTCTGCTTTGGTTTTAGCACATTTCTCCATTGAACTTACAGAAGCAAACAAAACAGCAAGCCATCAGACTCTTCAATGAAAATGTATTTAACATTAAACAAAATGTACACATCATGCAAATGAGGCATCACCATGGTCACAATGGTGCTGTGAGGTACAACAGATCGCAACAAAACAGATGTCTAGCAAAATAAAGCTCTAAGAAGAATGGCCAGGCATTTTTCAGAAGTCAGACCATGCTATCATCTGTGTGCTTGTCATAAAAGAGATATCCCCCCCTGCTGGTTACCAAGATCAATGGCACAGCATTCTTAGAGGTATGTATTTTATTAAGTATATACACATAAACATACATTATTTCTGAGACTAATAAATTCTTAAACTATGGCTGGCTTTAAATGAACAGGAACAATCCCAGTCTGTGGCTCATACCTTTAATCCCAGCACTTGGGAGGCAGAGCATTGTGATTTCAAGGCCAGCCTGGTCTACAAAGTGAGACCCTGTCTTTAAAAACAAAAAACCCCACCCCCTCAAACCAAAACTAACTAAATAAAACAAAAACCCAGGTTTTTACAACTCCTGGTTGTAAATCTCTCTCAGAATTATGGATCTTTCCAAATGCTTTAAGGTACAAGTCAAAACAAAAAGTTTCAAATAAAAAGTCCAAAAGCCGTATCTCACCACAGGAAATGAAAAATTAAAAACAGCATCATATGGCATAAAATGTATGAAGTTATACATTCTACTGTCATTTTACCTCGTTCAGAATTTTTAAAGTCTATTAAAGTGACATACTGGGGCCAATTTGGGGCCCCATTTCAAAGTACTATGACTTTTTATGCATGGTTTTACTACAGTCAAGCAAATACAGGAGCAAATAAAGAAAAAGAAAACTTCAAGCTCTAATAGAAAAACAATAGGAAAAACATGAAAACCAACCACCTGTATGAGACTCTATTCATTCAGCTTAAAAACCATTCAATTGGTTTGGAATAATAATTCCAAAGATTTTAAGGTGTGACATGAAACGTTCCTTGCTAGATTCAGTTGCTCCTGTACATAAGAGGAAAGAAACAGTTGCCACTATTTAATTCCTTATTCAATCTTCTTCAACCCCCAAACAGTAATGCATTTACAGGTGGTAAAGCTTAATAGAGAAAAAAAAAAGACTTCTTGATAGTACTTTTCAACAGAAACCTCAGAGGAAGACAAAATGGCCAAATTTCTTCTCCTAAATAGAGACAGGGAGATATGCAGTGCAGGTTGAGTACATGTTTAACTAGGGTGTGGGTAAATAGAAGATTTTATAGGAAGAGACTTCTAAATGTCTATATGCTCCCACTCTGGGAGTGCTAGTGGTCCTAAAGTGAGATTGCTGTCCAGCATCACGCAGGTTATTGAGAGGATCACTATGATACCAGAGGAGGACAGGAAGTGCTTTAGTAGCAGCTGAAGCTCATAAATAGAACCATAAAATGAAACTTTGCTAAAGCCCAACGAGGCTAAAATCTCAAGGTTGCTACCAAGAGAGGCCAGTGTTTTATAAACTACCTAGCAATACAGTTACATTCCAATCTAATAATTTGGAATCCAGCGGTTAAGGGCGAAAGAAGCTTCTTCAGGTGGCCAGGAGCTCAAATTTAACATCAACAGCTTCATGAGTGCTCCAGACGCCACCTGCCAATTCAAAAACAAAACCAGGTAAGAGCAAAGCAGAAACCAAGAATTTTGCACTTAATAATTAGACTTTTCCTTGGCTCATAGAGTATTTCTTAAAAGAAGTAGTGTAAAATTTTGCATAGGGTCATTCTTTTAGTCAAATTTTCCTTGGGTACGACTTTTCTAAAATGTGCAGATATTTTGTCTGTTGGTTGGTTCTTTACCCTTGAGTGAAGAATAGTTCCCTGTGGGTAAAGCTGGAGGACACAGCTTCAGGAAGGACCCACATGGGACAGTGAGGTAGGAAGGTGATACTTTCCTAGCCAGTCAGATCATCCTTGCATCCAAATCTGAAGGTGTTTAATGTATCTTAAGCTTTGCCTTCTGATTGTCCCCAGTCACTGTGACAATGAATCACTGTTGGTTTAGATGGGTTTAAGAACTAGTCTACACCACATATGAAAACATATAAACAATGGGAATAAAGCGATTTAATTAAGACTTTTTTTTTTCTTTTAGGGCAGGGGTTTTACATTTCTTTCACCTAAGAGATGTGGGAAATAAATATTAGAACTCCTAAATCTGTTTGGGGCATGCTAAGTTTACCGGGTAGTAAAGTAAGTGAAATCAAATGAAGGAAGTTAAAGTAGAGTACACTAATATCAAAAGAAACCTCTTAACAAATACTAAGCCATGCAACTGTTACGGAAACAATGCTCAGGTGAATCTGAGTTATAAGTGTTCAAGACATCAGGTTTACTCTAAAAGTGTCCTATTAGGGCTAGGGATGTAGTTCCGTTGGTAGAGTGCTTGCCTACAATACAGGAAGTCCTGGATTTGATCCCCAACACTGCATAAACCAGATGTGGTGGCACACATCTATAATCCCAGCACTCAAAAGGTGGAGGCAGGAGGATCAGAAATCCAAGATCATCCTAGTTTACATATTGAGTTCAAGGCCAGCTTGGGATACATAAGATTCTGCTTCAAAAAAAAAAAAAAGTAGTCTGTCATGTATTTTCTCTCCTGTGTCAAAGGACTTCACACATCTTCCAGAGAACTAACTGAAGGGGACTCTCGAGCTCACTGTCTGTAGGGAAGGGCTGAGTTTGAGTGGAAATAAGTACACAGAAAAGAGCCATCTGGCTTCCCCATCCTGTTACTGTATTTGAGAAATGAAAAGATTGGACTAAGCCAATTTAGGCATCAAATTTCTGTTAGAGGAGTAGGGCATCATGAAAAATAAAGTGACAGAATGCTGAGAGTATAAAAATGTTTTAAAAGAGTCTACAATAGGGGGGATGGAGAGATGGCTCAGTGATTAAAAATGTTTACTGCTCTTGCAGAGGACCCAAGTTTGGTTCCCAGCATCTACATGACAGCTTATAACCACCTGTAATTCAAGTTCCAGAGGATCCAATACTCTTTTCTGGCCTCAGCAGGCTCCTGTGCATATGTGGTGCACATAAATTCACATAGGCACACACACATATAACTCATAAACAAATCTATTTTAGAAAAGAGACTACAGGGGCTGGCAAGATGACTCATCAAGTATGAGCACTGGCTGTTGTTGCAGAGGACGTGGGTTCAGTTCCCACCACCCACATGACAGCTCACAACCATTTGTAACTCCAGCTCCAGGGGTTACAATGCCCTCTTCTGGCCTCTGCAGGCATTGCATGACATAGGTGCACTTACATGCATGCAAGTAAAACACTCATACACATGAAATAAAAATAAATAAACCAAAAAAATTTTTAAAGAGTCTCTAATAGCAGGAGGGCTGAGGGAATGGCTCAGTTGGTAAAAGTGCTTGCTGTTCAAGCATGAAGACAAATTCAGATCCTCAACACTCATGGAAAGGACATGGCCACTCATACCTGTAATTGGAGTGCAGAGGATGAGGGGCAGGAGGCTCACTGGGACTTGCTCGTCAGCCAGTCCAGGAAAAAACTGAGCGACCTGGCTCAAATGAACAAGGTGGAGAGCAATACAGGAAGACAACCCACATGTCTTCATATACATGCAGACATCAAACAAACAAGCAAACAAAAAAATAAAATAAACGGAAAGATCATCGGAATAACTGAGTTCTCAAAGGATTTGATGGTAGTTTTGAACAATGAAAACATTTAGTGTCTAAGCTTAGGGGCTGGAGAGATGATTCAGGAGTTAAGATCTCATGCTGCTGTTGCAGAAGATCTGAGTTCAATTCCCAGCATCCATGCTGGGTGGCTCACAACCACCTGTAGCTCTAGTTCCAAGAGAAGCTGATGCCTCTGGCCTCTGCAGGCACCTACATTCAAGTGAGCCGCCCCCCCTCTCATAGTTAAAAATAAATCTTCAAATAAGTCCCAAATTCAACTCCCTTCTTCTCTCTCCCTCCCGAGAGAGAGAGAGAGAGAGAGAGAGAGAGAGAGAGAGAGAAGGCAATTTGACAGTGATCCCAACTCCCCTCCTACTCTCTCTCTCCCGAGAGAGAGAGAGAGAGAGAGAGAGAGAGAGAGAGAGAGAGAGAGAGAGTGTGTTAAAATAAATCTAAATCTTTAAATAAGTCTCAAATTGAAATATATCAAATGTGAAATGTAAGTGCATACAACTGGGGGTGCATATAACTGATAGAGACTCTCAAATGAGAGGGGCTGGTGGTGTAGTTCAGTAGCAGAGCATGTGCTTAGCACATAAAAGGGGGAGGGGAGTGGGAGGAAGGGAGAGAAACTCTGCAAGTCAAAGAGACAGAGACTGAACAAGCAAGCATGCAAGAGTAAGCATTAGAGCACCAGTGAGAACAGAAGCACTTTGACAACAAAAATGTCAGAGGTGGTGGAAAACCTTCCCGCAAAAATAAAGTTCTTCCTCCCTCACCTCAGGTATGATCCAAGATCAGATGTCTACTTGAGAAGAATCCAGAACAGATCAATAGAATAGTTGACTATTTGGCCCAACACTCATCAATGTGTATGGGTGATTAAAGACAGAGTGTGGGACGTCACTGCAGAGGTTCACTTTACTAGCATCACCTTGCAGCACTGTGAGTATTCTGTCTTTGCCTCTGAAAAAGGTGCTATTGAGACAGATTGGTGATCAAATCTTTAGCCAGTTCCTCTCAACTTTCCTGCCCACAGCCTCAAACAGGGGCAACATGGGTAGGAGACTACAATGGGGACTCACATTATAAAGGAATTACATAAAATCCAGCTCAGTTCCTGTGAGTGATGCAGTATAAGTTTGTGTTTGTAATTTCCAAATACAATTGACTGGCCAGGAGACAAGGTGGTATTTATCTGATCTCCACACATCTCAGAGAGTTATGGATTTAGAGTATTATTAGAAGACTGTACCTTTCATTAAAGGGATGTTGTCTCTGTCAACAGAAGGTGTTCAGAGTAGTTTCTTGCCCAGGACTGTTAAATCCTTCGATAAGGTTTTTGTTACAGTCATCCAGGCTGAGGTTTTCACTGGATTTCTTAGGGAAAGTTGGGGGGCCAGTGAAATCTAAGATATCTTGAAGTGCTCGGGCATTACCAGTTCCATTTTGGTCCAGAGACATCCCAGGAATCATTTCACTCACTGGTGAAAATTCTGGGATGGAGATAAGCTCTTCTTTGGAAACAGGACTAGAAAAGATAGGAAGACAGAATGAGAGACAGAGAGAAAAGAGAACTAGGCATGATTTGTTAATGTACTTCATTCTATTTGTATAGTTCTGTTATGTTACTCTTCTGGAGACAATGGATTTAGTAAAACTACAAGTGAGTTTAAATCTGGAAAGCTGCTGGACACCAGCTCCCCGGAGATGAGAAAAAGGTTAGTAGACTGGGCAGGGTTGTGAAGAAGAGCCCACAGTGTCTGAATGAAAGGGAAAAAACCTACAGGGACCTACACAGTACTACAGAGAAGCAAGGCCCTCCCAGAGCTTTTAGGCTGGGATATTCAAAGAGCAGTCAAGGGCTAAAAGTTCAAAGTGAAGTAAAAAAGGCCCTAATTCATACTAGGGCTCCTGGTGCTGCCTTTCCAGCAGCGCTGCCCCAGGTAAGCTGCCTTTCCTGCCTCTGGCTTCAGTTTTCTTCCCTTTAAAATGGGTAGAGGGGTCATTTCTTCTTCCCACTGTTCCTGTGAGTTGTGAATGTGACCATGCAGGGAATAGTTGATGTTGAGCCACATGAAGTATGTGCTCAGTTAAAGTTGGGGGATGGGGACATGGACCCACGGTCATCCTAGGCACCTACAGAGCAAATCACACACACTGCCTCCTTTCTAAAGCCAGGCTTCCAATCCACCCTGACTTATCCAGTTTTGCCCAGTGGAAGCTTGCTTTTTCTTTTTCTCTCCTTCCCTTAGAGGCAGATGAGGCTCACTGCTGCTGTCTGCCATAAATCTAGCAAACGGCCAATCCAAGTCCAAAAGAGTAATGGGCTAGGAACTGAGGACCAGACCCCAAGGTCTCTTAAAATCCAGAATAAGGTTGATGATAGACTGCTCTTCCTTGATGAAATCTTGAATGTTCTAGATAAACCAGAGGAATTGTAGAAGTGCCCAGACATCTCACATCTTCCCTCACATCTGAGCAAAGTTAAGGCACAGCAGCTGACCTAACACCTCTTCTAGTATCTGGGCAAGCTACTTTACTAAGTAAAAACATCTGCCCTACCTGTACTTTCCCCCATTTCATTCTCCTTGTTTAGGCTCAAGAGCATAGGGAAAAGCTGGGCATGGTGGCACATATCTGTAATCCCAGCACTTAAGAGGATCAAGGTCAGGCTAGGCTAAATAGTGACTTCTAGGACAGCCTCTGCTACATGAGATGCTGTCTCAAAAACCCAACAACAACACAGAGCATGGTTAACAGTGTGGCTCCAGTAGTTACACCTTTTTCTAAAGGAGAACTCAGTGTATAAAGTCCATTCACTTTTTAAAATCCTGGCCATGGTACCATGTTCTTGCCCCTTGGCAACCCAGAAATACAAGAATAAGCACACTGGCTCAGTACAGGGGAGGGATATGTTATATTAACCCTTAAGATGGCCTCAGTTGTTTTTTGCTGGGGGTAGAGTAGTACCAGTCAGGGGAATGTGATGGTGGAGTGGAGGTTATGGGAAGACCCAGACAAGGGCTGGGGGGAGGGCCCCACTATCTGTATACATAGGATTTTCTCTGCTGGTAATGGGGCTCTTGGACCCAGGGTTTTGACATATTTGGTTCAAGCCCAATGTAGATGAGTCGGATATTTACAATCAGTGTGTCGTAAGACGCTTACATCTTCATCCCCGACCTCAAATAAAGTAGAAGGTTCATAGCCAACAAGAGAAAAGTGAAGCCTAACAGGTGGGCACTCTGGTAGAGCTTCTATAAAATACTATCATTGGCTCCTGACTCAGAGAGCCACCCACTAACACCAATGCCTCCGCACAAATCCTAAACCAATTAGCTCTTTTGTCTGAGATTAATTCATGACATGACATCATCTGCAAACATACCAGTTTAAGAAATCCGTAGGTTTTTAGCAGCTGCGAACAAATTCATTTTCTATTGTCTTTAATAAGATTTTCCCCACCATTGTTTTGTGGCAGAAATCTTGCTATGTAGCCCAGGATGGCCTTGAACAATCTTGGTTCCCATGCCTCAGCCTCCAGAGTGCTTGGATTACAAGCATGTGCCGCCATTTCCGGTTTTTACTGACAAATTTACTTAAATGTAAGACTCTGTGGACACAGGGGTCCCTGTTGGTGACCTGGCCAGACCTCCTTTACTTTCAGCCAGTCATCTCCCAGTCTCAGGGTTGGCTAGCCAAAGACTCTTGGCAACTTCTTTTTAACTGACAGTAGCCCCTATGGCCACAGTTAGTCCTGCATCCTCCAACCTGGAATGCCCACAGCGAAAGACTGATGAATGTAGTAATACAAAAACTACCTCTTTTAGCTCAGTTAAGTGACTCCCTATGGAAATTCATTTCCAGATCTCCTGTGAGACTGTCTGGGAACACACCTTTGCTTAGCAGCCTTCCTTCCCTCTATAGTCCTACCCCAGCAAATTATGCTAAGAACCTTTGTCTCTGGCTCTGCTTCTAGGGTGCACAACCCAAGAGAGTCAGATTACATCACTGACAGCTTTGCTATCTCAACCAAATGTGGTAATTTTATAGGTAATTTCATTATGGATGGGGAAGAAGATGGAAAGGAGGAAAACAGTAACAAAAAATGTATCTGGTGAAGAATCAACTATAAAAAAATAAAGATGAAGTCACTGGCAGTAACCAGAGAAGAGAGAAAGTTCAAATCCAAGAGAAATGAACATACCTCACATCCATAGACTGAACTTCTTCCGTTGAATCATCCAGACTGTTTGATTTCCCATCAAGGGCATCCAGGTGAACAAGACCCCCAACTGGTTTAGACACATTAGAGAACATGTCTTGGGGAAAGGTTTCTGGAACAGCATTCCCCATACTATTTGCTTCTTGGCAGGTGTTCAATCCATTGATTTCTAATCAAGAACACAACGTCCACCAATGAATCATAATATCCCAAATGATGAAGTAAGAGGAAACACATTAACAAAGGAAATAACTTAATCCTTTCTTTGTGGAAAGAACTACCAATAACTGCATATAATCACCTTCACAAAAGAGAAGAGCATATAAATCTCACTATCAGTGTCTGCAGGGCCACAGTACAACAGTGGAGCCAGGTCTTAGTAACACCCACTGTACAGTCAGGTGCTTTGGAAAGCATCCTGGGCCCAGCATGGATGATGAGAGGAGCTGAGGAAAGCAATGGCTTCCCAAATAGAGGCAACAGCTCCTGTACTAGAAAGGTGCCCCAGAAAGCAAAACTGACAGCAGCCACCCCCTCGGGCCCAGGTGTCCTCCCTGCAACCCCTGCAGGAAGCCTCATTAGTCCTCACTGCTGAGAGAGCCCACCCATAAGAGTTCACACTTACCTATTTTGTTCGGGACAGCCAGTTTTGTTGTATTTTCCACATTTGCAGCAGGCTGAATCGCCACTCTGCGGTCCTCTTTCTGGAAACAAACAGAAGGTTGAAGAGATGAAAGATTAACATTAAACAGAAAAACAAGTACTCTCTCAAAGCACCAGGGAGTACTGAGAGCCCTTCTGGGCCATCTGCCTATTAAATGGTGGTTCTACGAAGCTCAAATGTGTTTCCCTTGTTATTATGTCACCATTCTCTTCATGGACTGTCGTGTTTCTCCTTGCACTCCCACCCCACTGTTCTGAGGAAATCTTTACCTATTCCAACTCTGAAACTCCCCTTTCCTTTAAGGTCTCAGTTCCCTCCCAAACCTAGCCATGACCAGAACAGGAACCGTCCACTTTTCAAGCTATTTGTCTCCAACCCACAGTGTCACTGAACGTATTCTGCTGTTCTTCCCCTCTTAGGACATAATGATCACCTGAATGCCCACCTTCACTTCTGGAGATGCATCACTCTTCCTTGTTCTCTTCATGATTTCATCTATTCTCTGGGATAGGGAGAGAAAGAGATCCATAAGAACAAAACCATAAAAAAGAAACTGGGGCCACATGAAAATGAATATTTCTCAAAAAACTTGTAAAAGATCTATAGAAAGCAAAGTTGAGTAGCTCAGGAAGAGTCACAGGCTCCTTGGGCTCTTGACTCCTAGACTTGTACAGTAATACAACATCCACACTGGGCCTAGGACACCAGATGAATAGACCTTTATAATCAGTCTCCTTGAACCCAACTTGATATGTAAATATATTATGTTTAAAAGAACTATAAACATTTCAGTACAAAGACTGTCAAATTAGATTCAGACAGGAAGACCTGACTGACTATATGTTGTTTACAAGGAATACTCAAGTGATACACAGGTTCAAAGTAAAAATATGGAAAAAGGTTTACCACCAAGACATGAATGATAGGCTGCCAAAGTAGGCTTTAAGGATTATTACTAGAGCTAAGAAGGACATTTCAGGATAAAACTGTCAATTCAATAGCAAAATGTAAATATCTGAAATGTATATTCAATAAACAACAGCTTCAAAATAATATATATCTCAAAAACAGACGGAGCTGAAAGGCAAAGTGGGCAAATCTATAATCATGGAGACTGCTCTGTTATTTTCAGGGCTAAGTGGGGTGGGGGGTATTTGAATGAATGACCTTACTCTTATTTGGGCTATATCCCCAGCCCACAGATGGAACCATTTAAACACTCCTTTCTCAGTAGAACATGATGACAAAACCCTAATTAATAAAGATATAGACTGGATTCACTTTCTGTTCCTGCTTTACCAAAGTCCTCCTCCTGTCACAGCTCTTACCTTCTTCCTCTCCAGTCGCTCCTGCTCAATCTGCAGCATGATCTGTTCTCTTTCTAGACGCAACTGTTTAGCTGCCTCCTGTGCCTTTGCATCTGCTGCTGCTTTCTGAAAACAAAAACAAAAATAGAAACAGATGCAAAACCAGATAAACCAAGGCAGAGGCTTTTTAAGCTAAGAAAACACTGGAGTAGCTTCCTAAGCTTTGCACAAGTGTCTGCATGCCATCATCTCCCCAGAAGTGAATGTTGCTTCAATAGTCAATGTGGACTTACACAATCTTTTTTTTGTATCTTATGTGTATGAGTGTATTGCCTGCATATGTATAAGTGCCCCTGTGTCATGCAATGCCCACAGTGGACAGAAGAGGGCATCAGATCCCGTGGAACTGGGATTCGAACCATGGTCTTCTGCAAGAGCAATGAGTGCTCTCAACCGCTGAGCCCTCCAGCCTCATACAATCTGTTTTACAACACAGCAGATAAGGTTGGGCCTTGTTCATATACTCTCGATCCACCTGTGGATAGTTCTTACATGTGGTAAAGGTCTCTATGTCTGTAGGCAGGCTTTGGCCAGAAGTGTGCATACAGCCAGAAGATTCTAGGAGTTAATTCCCCAAGGAGGCATACTTCACAACAAGGGGACAAATTCTAAATCATGATAACCGGTCTCAGAGGGTCCCAATGTCAATGAACTCCAGTGACCCACAGTAACTCAGCCATTGAGATATATATGTCTTTTTGAGATAGGGTCTCTGTAGCCTCAGATGTCCTGGAACTCACTATGTAGACCAGGCTGGCCTCGAATTCACAAAGATCCACCTGCCTCTGCCTCCCAAGTGCTGGGATTAAAGGCGTGCACCACCATGCCTGGCCCACTGATACATTTTATAGTGACTTTCCTTATCCCCATACCAGACTCACAGGATCCTCTCCCAAACGAACGACTGGCACCCAAATTCTTATTCTAGTATCTACTTTTAGTGGAGAAACCCAAACTCACATGTCAAACATTAATGACAACACTTTATCCTAAGTAAGATATAGCTGATACCCAGAACAGAGAGTTTAAGAGAGAAATTCCAAGTTACTATTATGAGTCATTCAAATTTAAAGAAATTTTACCTAATATGAACCAAGTCCCTTAAAAAACAAGGGCAAGTTTGAGCCTCACACTGTACCTGCTTTTCAATCCTGGCTTTTTCTTGCTTTTCTTTTTCCTGTTTTTCCTTTTCTTGCTTCTCTTTTGACAACAGCTCCTCCTTAGCCTTCTGTTCTGCCTCCTCTCTTGCCTTTCTTTTCTCCTCCTCTTCCTGCTGCTTCTTTTCCTCTTCCTGCTTATGGGTTGCTTCTTCTTGCTGAAGCCTTTCCTTGTCTGCCTTTATTTTCGATTCATCTTTCTCCAACCTTTTGAGAACATAACCACTGTTAGCTGCCAAGGAACCATGACTGCAGCAGGTAATATTCAACATGTCAACACACATGTATGTGAATTAATGTACACTTTCCTACCTAGAAATGCATTCCACTCTGATGCTTATCAAAAAATATGAACAAAACTGGGCTGGAGAGATGGTTCATGGGTTAAGAGACTAGCTGCTCTTGCAGAGGACTTGGGTTCACTTCCAACACCCACATGGTGGCTAACAACCATCTGTAAAGTTACAGTTCCAGGGAATCTGAGACCCTTCTTTTGGCCTCCGTGGGCACTGCATGCATGTGGTACACTTACGTACATGCACGCAAAGCACTAACACAAGATAAAATATGTTAAAAATATGAACAAGGCTTGACTTTAAACTGTACACCATAAAGGTTAATGGCCTATGTATATGTGAAGCCTACTAAACTGAAGACACAGATGTCCCCTTAATCCCTTTATAAATAACCATGATGCCAAAGGAGGCCAAGTCCTACCATTCTGATTTAATGCTACTTCCTGAAAAAAATCAAGCAGAATATTTAAATTTATTGGATAAATACTTAAATTAAGATATTTAAATCTAGAAAATAACAAAGAAAAATGTTGCAATAGTCACTCATTTCAAGTCATGAGTAATTGAAGAACAATGGCCATGAATTCAAGTTCACAACTGGCTCTGATTGGCATATAACTTCTGAAGCAGCCAATGAGAGAAAATGCTCAACAGAAATTCAACATGTGATAGAGAAATCAAAACAACTACTTCCATTTATTTATTAATTTATTATTTTTATTTTATATGCATGGGTGTTATGCCAGAGAAGGGCATTAGATCCCCTGGAACTGGAGTTATGGATGGTTGTTAGCCACCATGTGGTTCTGGGATTGGAACCCAGTCTTCTGTAAGAGCAGTCAGTGCTCTTAACCGCTAAGCCATCTCTCCAGCCTTCCATTTTCCATTTATTTGACAAGATTTTAAAATCTATTTTTGCTTTTAGTCTTTGTTAAAAGAAAATGAAGTGGCATCCAAATATTTTCATTCATAGATAAATGGTTCATTACCTAATGATCTCAATGTTTTTTTGGTGGTAGTGAGGATTCAGTCTAGGGATTCATGCATACCATGCAAGCAAATGCTCCACTATCTCAGTCCCCAGCCATGCCCTTTTAAGTGCATATATACGAAACTACATTCATTTCAATGCATGTATCACTGACTGACAGATTCTGTTATACTGTTGTAAGAAGATAAAATCTTTTAAAGGCATCCTTTCATCCCAATGGTCAGCTGCAGGAATCAGACAAGTTAACAGTCTATGTCTGCTAAGGAAATAGCTTAAGGGCTGGAGAGATGGCTCAGGGGTTAAGAGCTCTGGCTACTTTTATAGAGGTCCTGGGTTCAGTTCCCAGCACCCACATGGCGGCTAACAACTGTTTTTAACTCCAGTTCCAGGGGATCTGACACCTTCAGGCATTGCCACCAGAGGCTGTAGGGCCTTAAAGCACTGTGGAACAATCCAATTATTCTGTAATCTACAGAAGAGCATTATGGGGCTGAAGCAGAAACTTTTGGTATCTTACATATTCTAGATTGTCAAAGACAGACATGGCAATGACAACATATATCCAAAGTACTGTTTCATTTACCCCTTTAGAAAAAGCTGGGTGTGATTTCCCCCAGAGAAATTAAAGCAAAAATATCTTCACACAGAACCTGTTATCTATTTCTTCAAGATCTGAAAAACTATCACTTCTGTTTTGGCCACTGAGAAGCCAGGTATGAAGAGGCCTGGGGATCTCTGCCTGAGTTTTAGGCCTGTACTCTTGTTTGGACACTAAGCTTTGGGTTGGCTATGTGATCTTATCATGTGTTACAGTAGTTGACTATTCTTTGATGTGGGCTCTTGGCAGTAGTTTTGGTTTCTTCCTGTAATCTATTTTTGGAATTCCAGTAAGATTTTGTTTGCTAGTCTCTGCCAGTATCTTCCTCAGACTGGATCTAGGGTATGAGGTTGTTTACCCTATCTTCAAGAATCCCATTGTGCATATTGGGCCATCCTCAAGTCCAGAGACTGGGTCTGCTATCAGGACTTCTGAGAGAGCTTTTAGGCCACAGCTAGTTAGGATTAGGCCAGTTTTTGCTCTCTTCTTAGGGCCTATTTGACAGACTGCCTAGTAAGCTCTTCCATTAAGGGGAGTTGCCCAGATCTCTGACTTGAACAGTGTTTCCCTCACCAGCTGGTGGCAATAACTGGGCTTCCCAAAGCTCGGCTCAAGTATCTTTATTTTTCACTCTTATTTTCTCAACTTGAAATCACATTTCTGTGATTTGAACTATTGAATCTAAATAAAACAGATGTGAGGATGATCTTATGCCAAGAGGTGTCTGCTGTGTTCCAGCCTCAGAGGGTCTAGTACTTTCCTTTCTTGCCTCATATATGGTACTATGCAAAGTTTCACATTCTGGACAGGGTGAGGAAGACTGATTTGAGGTTAATTGCATTCATCTCACTTTTCACCTAGGCCACAGGATGCCATTTCAATTCCAACCACTGGTATGTTCTGCAGGTACCTATGTTTATCTAAAATCAGATAGATAATTTTTAGCTTTCCAGATCAATTCCTTCGCCTTTCCATAATCTGTTACTGGGTGTACCAACTTTCTGAGTCCTTCAAATCACACTTTAGCATCACCTCTAAATCTTCCCCTTTCTTTTGATTTGTCCAAGTCTGTAAACTCCCTGTTCTTATGCCTTCAGGACAAAAATTTAGGCCTTTAGTTCATTTAACACACTCCTGTCATCATCAATGCCATTTCAGTTGAGCCTCTTCCATTTCTTCCTATTTACTAAGCATCAAGCACCAGTGATCTTAGACTATACTCTAGCCTTTTAAAGTGCTAACACTTTAAGAAGAGAGACATGTAGGGAAATGAGGGTACAGTCATCTGCTGGAAGCTAAACTCAAGAGGGTGCAGAGGGGGAGATCAGTTCCTTCCCTATTAGCAGTCCAAAAAGGCCACAGAGGAGTGAGCATGACCTGAATTATGAAAAAAAAATGACATTGTGTGGCAAGGAGCATGAATCCAAGGGAAGGCATAGCAAAAGTAGCACTCTGATGGTGCAGAGCTGCATAATGGAGTGTATAAGAAGGGTGGCAGGTTGGGAGCCTGGAGGGAGAGAAGTCAAAGGGGCAGGTAGTGGCCAGTCCATGGCAGGCCTTGAATGCCTACTGATATGTTTAGACAAATCCTGTGGTCATGAGACTCACTAGCTTGTTAAAAGACAAGGAAAATTCACATTTGTTTAAGGAGGGTCACTGTGGACACACAGAATGGATAGTGGGCAAGCTCTATAAGATCTGGAGCACTTTGGTGGAATGCCATAGACACAGTTTAGCTAAGCCAGCTAGTGCTAGAGGAGCATGGAGAGAACAGATATGCTAATGTGAAAGCCAGTGAAGACTTACCTAACAACTGATGGGATGTGGAGGATGATGGAAGAGTTGAGTGTAGCTCTGAGATTTCTAACGTTGGAACTAGGGTGGATGGGAGTACAGAGCTCATGAAATGAATAGGAAGTCTCGGTGAAAGATACTAAGTTCTGTCCTCAAAATGCTGAATTTGAGGTAAATATGGACACACTAAAAAATGTATAGTTGGAGCCAGGCATGGTGGCACCCACCTTTAATCCCAGCACTTGGGAGGCAGAGGCAGTAAGACTGCTGTGAGAGCGAGGCCAGCCTGGCCTATGTAGTGAATTCCAGGCCAGCTAGGGCTACAGGGAGACCCTGTCTCAAGACAGCAGAAAAAATTAAAAAATAAAATATAACCCCAAACAAAAAGTATAACTGGGGATATGGGCTCGGGTTTCTAGACAAATGCTAGCAACAGAACTGAGGTAAAGAAACATTCCATAAAATTATGTTGTTCATTCTGGTAGCTACTGGCCACATGTAGCTATTGAACAATGATATGTGGTAAATATTGCTAAGGAATTTAATTTTTCTCAATTTACGTTTGGTAACCATATGTGTCTAAAAGATATGATATAAGTCAGTCTAGCTCTAGATTGAACCCAGCCCACAGGCACAGATTCAATATGTTCCAGAGAATATGGAAGGTTTACAAAATAAGGTACAGTTAAGTTTATAAATAGATAATAAAAGAAGAGATGAAGGGAAAATGAAGGCAGGAAGGGAGATGAGAGCAAGTTCATTTAACACATCAAAGACTAAACATGAACTATCAGCTCTACATCTTCTAAAGCCAGAGGAAAGTGGTAGGATGGCAAGGACAATGGCAGACCAAGAGTGAGCAACACTATCTTCAGGGAGGGCTTGAAATCAGGCAAGAAGCTATTCAGGGGTTGAGCACTTTAAGTGCAGAAAACATTTAAGGGGATTTAACAGGTAAGATTCAGGAGGACTAGAAGAGCCAGGGCAAGCTTGATATGGCCAAAGAGAACCAAACATCAATGGGAAGTCTGCAAGGAAGAGAAGGGAATGATGGGTGTGAAGTTTGACGACTAAGTTGGGGAAATAAACACAGGATTGTATTCAGTTCCTTCTGGAGCTGGGCTGTAAAGGAAATGTAAGAAGGAGAGGAGTAGCTGGAAGGTAGGGGGCTTCCTCTTAAGCACACAGACACAATCATGTCACTTACCTACTCAGAACATATGCCATATCTCTATGGATGCCTGTCAGCTGAGATCCTACGATTCATCACCTGTGACTTTCCCTTCACATAACTCTAGCCCACCCAAACCAGCATGAATACATCATCCAACAACAAAACTTGTTCATATTGACTAAAGGGCTAGAGTGAGAATATAATCAGAGATTTTCAGAATTGGAAGAAGGAACCTACCTCAAAATCTTAAAAAATGTATCAACAAATCTTTAATCAGGGACCACAAACACTCAACAAGGTCATTCAAGGATCAAGAATATTTTATCATTAATTATTTTAAATTCAGTGCTGGTCTTGTAGAACAGCTTGCTTCCTGTTGTGTTCACTCTCTAAATGGTATCAGATTGTACTTTGTGATTATCCTGACATCCTTTTAAATTTGGTGATAAAATCAACCTTGCCCTTTAACCATGTGTTCTTTTTCTGAATACAAAGATTGAAAAATTAACCATGTGTTCCTTTTTTGAATACAAAGATCAGAAAAAGCAGGAGTGTCTGTACTGCATCAAAGTGTCCTGGTACTATCCCCATAGTGATTTTCAAATATTTAGGATTGCTAAAATAGGACGAGACATAGGTCAATGCATTTCACTGTATTCCCTGGATGCTTCTGATATTCTCTGAAGTTTAGACACCACCGCAAAGACATCTTTTTTTCTGACTCCAGAATGGGAGTTCCACGTCCCTCATTGTTCCTAGGCTATGGTATTATTGGTTCTTCCTTCTACCATTGCATCTAGGGGGACTCTGACCAATGCTCTTCTTTATCTGGCTTTGAAACATTAGTTAGGATCATCTGGGAAGCAGAATCAAGATCTCTATATACAGAACCTTCTGTTTTTCCAGAGAGACTCATTTTATAACCAAAGTTCAAACTCTCTTGACAGAGCTAGTAGACTTGCCTGATCTCTAAGTCCAAGAGGGGAAATGAAGGTATCTGCAACATTGACATCCAGGAAATACAAGTTTCTAGGTCCTCTGAAAAGAGTAAAGTTCTGTCCCTGTTACCTACATCTAATAGGAGATACAGGCTCCTAAACACCTTCTATGTAGTCCATGTACTCTGGATTCCTACACTTATGTTCAGGTTTTAGCAATCAAAATTGTAAAAAGAAAGGCAAGCAATCCTTCCAATGTAGCCTTTACATCAATCACATAAATTGAGTGCCTGCATACCATTCTTGCTCTTCCTTCTCCAGTCGTTTTTGCTCCTGCTTTTCCTTCTGCAGCCGAGCCTGGCGTCTCTTTTCAGACAAGATCTTTGTAGCCTCCCCTGCATCAATGGTGCCTGCTGTGGGTTTCCCTGAGGCTGTCAGAAAAGGAGAAGCAAGAAATGATTAAGGCAAGTGAATTCAAACTCCACTCACATAAAAGTGGACACAAAAATACTTTGTATGGTGCTGGCAAACACTGCCAAAACAGTGTCACAGTTTGCCACCAATCAGAAGGAGCTGCAATGGGCCAGCTGTGACCCTGGATGTATTATTCCACAGTAGGGGCAGGGAACAGCTGAGGAGGACAAAGCCACAAGCAAGTCCCATAACACTACCATCTGAGTGAACTCACTACATACCAGAGGCTTTAAGGACTAAAGGAAGGCTAGCACTCTCATACAAGAAGTGCAAATACAGGCTGTATGGGGCCCTTTCAGCACTCCTGTGAGGTTCCACAGCCATAGCCAACTCTGTTAAGCAGAGTTAACACCCAAGTCTCCTGAGAGAGAAAAAGGAAGGAATCAGAAGCAATGAGCAGGCCTGAGAAAGCAGTCCAAAGGGGATAAAACTGCCCCAGGGAAATCTCCCCTCTCTCCCCTGAACATGAGAGAATGGCATGTAGATCAGGAATGATGGAGAACCGTGAGGGGAAATCCAAGGCCCACTGGCTACATCAACAGAGAAGATCTACCTGTAATGCTCTCATTCTTCCCTCCTGTGGCAGCATGCTTCTCAGTAGCATGCTTGTCAGCCAAGTACTTCTCAACGGCATGTTTGTCAGCTGCGTACTTCTCAGTGGTATGCTTGTCTGCCACAGGCTTCTCAGTGGCCCGCTTGTCAGCCGCGTGCTTCTCTGGGGTTTCTTCTCTGGGTAGGCCAGCGGTCTGCTGGCCCGAGGCACCTTCCCTTTCCTTATTGCTCTTCTCCTTCTCCGCTTTCTTCTTGAACACTTCTTCACCGGGAATGGGGGGAAAGCGGCACTTCACAGGAGACCCTGTATGTGGGGGCTTCATGGTCTTTGGAGACTGTGGATATGCCTTTGAAGTTGTCCTGGAAAACCAAAACAAACCACTACATAGTTCTTGGGATCGACCATAGAACTTTTCCTAAGAAATCTGGTTCTAAAAAACTCAATAGCTTCGCCCTTCTGGAGAAATGTAGGACTGAGCAAACAAAAGTCACCCAGAAAGAAACATATGGCATCTGTAAGATGGCCCTGAGGAAAGGAAAAATAATTTTAAGAAATGTTCCAAACTCATTTATGTTTTGTGAATATCTTAAGGATGAAAATAACTGTTTGGATATGATTAGTCAACAAAATACTGGTCCCCAATTTAAAGGTACTGAGAGGTAGTGAGACCTGTTAAGAGGTGTGGCCCAGGGGAAGAAGGTGACTAGATCAGGATATCAAGTTGGTTCTTTGAAACTGGATTAGCTGTCTTGGTGTCTGTCTTGGTATCATGTTAAAGAAAACTTTCTTTAAAAATTAGCCGGGCGTGGTAGTGCACACCTTTAATCCCAGCATTTGGGAGACAGAGGCAACGGATCTCTGTGAGTACAAGGCCAACCTGGTCTACATAGTGAGTAGACTGGGGCTGGGGCTACAGGGAGACCCTGTCTCAAAAAGACCAAAAAAACCTTTTTTTTGAACTTCAGATCCTCCTGTATCAGCCTCCCAAATTCTAAGATTACAGGAATCAGTCATCACACACCACATACACGTTCATTACAATCATTTTAAATGTACAGCTGAGTAGCATTAAGTACATCCATACTGTTGTGCAATAATCTCTACCAACCTTTCCCTTTAAACAATTCCCCTTTCTCTCAGTCCCAGCAACTACCATTCTATTCTACTTCCTATATCTCTGGAAACATCTTATTTCAGGCACCTCGCTCACATTAAGTGGAATTATATATTTGTCTCTTAGTGTCTGGTTTATTTAAGTCAGCCCAAATCTTTCCTGTTCCTTTTTCTTTTCGTTTCTTTCTTTCTTTTTCCCCTCATCATTTCAGACAGGATCTCATGCAGTCCTAGCTAACCTCAAACTCACTATGTAACTGCCTGAGGATGATTTTGAACTTATGATCCTCCTGCCTTCATCTTCTGGGTTCTGGGATTATAGGTGTATACCACTATATCCAGAATCTTTGTTCCCTTCTAAAGGGTGAGAAATAAAGTCAACCAAGAGCTGGTGGGTGATTTTCAGAGGTCCATAGGTTTAAAAGAATTTTTCTTCTTTACTATCAAATGTAAAAGGTGAAAATAAGCCACCCAAGGCCAAACCATTTTGTTAAAATGTCTCAGATTGTCTTTAGGAAGGTGGTTATAACAACACCAGCCTAGGCTTGGCATCTGGCAAGTGCTGGGTAGTGAGAGTGTACCAATAGCTGTTGAGTTTACCTAGATGTTTGTGGACATTTGTACACAGTTCCTTCAGGAAAGATATACACTAATTTGTACATAAATTATCAGTTTCAATCTTATAGCAGGTTGAACTATATTGAATTGCTGATCTCCTACTGCTTTTAATCTATAAAAATAGCAATAGAAACTGGGTGTGGTGGCACATGTCTTTAATCCTCACACTTGGGAGGCAGAGGCAGGTGGATTGCTGTGACGTTGAGGCCAAACTACTATGGCCTACATAACTAGCTTCAGGCCACCTGTGGCTACATAGTGAGACCCTGTCTCAAAAAAGGAGGGCCTGGAGAAATGGTTCAGTGGTTAAGAGCAGTGGACACTTTTGAAGGGGACCCAGGTTCAATTCCAAGCACCCACATGGTGGCTAACAACTGTCCTAACTGCAGTTCCAGCAGAATCCGATGCCCTCTTCTGACCTCCATGGGCACAGCACAGGTGCACTTACATATATGCAGGCAATACATACATACGCATAAAACAAAAATAATTTTAACACCCCTCCAAAAAAAGATTTTCAAAATTTAAAAAGAAAAAAAAAACAGACGTTGCTATATAAATAGCAACTTAACCTATTATTTAAGGCCAATTTCTCACTAGAGGCTTAAAGAGTTATTTAAGCAGATCCTGGTAATAAGTGCTACATTAAAAAAAAACACAGTGTTTTTATCTATATTTCCCTAGATTTACTGTACCAGGCATGAGTTTCCTCCTGTGGAGTGGGCCTTAAATCCTATCTGAATGCAGTTAGTTGACCCCCTAACACTCATGCCACTACTGTACCATGGGCATATCTTGCCATGGCAGTCATTATTGCAGTTCATTGCTGGGTAAGACTGCTGATGACTTTTTTCCCCAGAGGTCTACATAGGAACTTCTAGTACTATGAAATCTAGCCAGTACAGAGGAAGCTTCCTGGTCATTAAATGTTGATTTCTCCATGTCCAATGTGTGTAGTGTCCTCAGCAATAGGGCCTTAAACAAAAGACAAGAAATGGTAGGGAGGATGCAGGGAATGGGGAACCATCATGCACTACAGTGGGAAACTGGGGCAACCACTATAGAAATCAGTGTGGCAGTTCCCAAAAACCTAGAAATAGTCTACCACGTGACTCAGCTATACCACTTCTGGGCATATACCCAAAGAACTCTAACTCCTACTATAAAGACAGATGCTTATCCATGTTCATAATATATATTCACAACAGCCAGGACATGTAAACAGGCTAAATATCCATCAACTGATGAATGAATAGTGAAAATGTGGTACCTATACACAACTGAAATTTATTCGTTAAGAAAAATGAAATTATAAAATTTGCAGGTAAATGAATAGAACTGGAAAACATCATATGAAATAGGGTAACCCAGACTCAGAAAGACATGTTGCTTGTTTCTTACTCTTGTTGATCTTAATGTTAAATCTTTACAGTTATGTGTTTAATTTGGAGTACCTATAGAATCTAGAAACTAGAAAGGGTGGTGGAAGAACGAGCTTAATGGAGAGGCTAGTAGAACACAAGTGATATGAAGGAAAAAGGGAGACTAAGGAGGAGGAAAGTTTAAGTGGTAAGAGGGCTAGGAGGGTAGGACAGAAGGGGTGAGGGAGGGACAACTAACACTAAGGATATTTGAAAATGCATATGCATATTGAAACCTATTGTATAAGCTTCCTAAACACACACACACACACACACACACACACACACACACACACACACACAAGAGACTATTTTCTTTAAGTGTGACAAAGGGTGTGATGCCAGGTATGTTGAATAGGCTCCAGGGGATGGACCCATACTCAAGAGCATTCAGGGATACAAATAAGCCTTTATAGGCCTTTAAAAATAACAGAAAACAGGAAGTCAAGGGGATAGTAAGGTAAGGGTGGAGATGGGAGGGGGGTCTGAATATGATCAAAATATATTGCCTGAAATTCTCAAAGAATCAATAAAATTTTTAAAATTACATTTTATTATGTATGTATGCATGTACATGCACATGTGCATGAAATTTTCTCTCTCTCTCTCTCTCTCTCTCTCTCTCTCTCTCTCTCTCTCTCTGTAGGTCAGAGAATGTCTAGAAGGAGTCAGGTCTCTCTACCATGTGGGTCTCAGGGACTGGACTGCTGAGCCATCTCACTGGTCCTATACTAGATTCTTTTATTAAAGAAAAATTACACAGAATCTCTGCCTCATGATTTCCACTTGAATGAATAGTAGGCTTTTTCAAGGCCCATTACCAACATTCTGTACTGCAATGTTTAGGGTCATAGGGTATAGCCCTGAATACTATACTGAACAGCATCCCTGGCCTCTGCTAAATAAAGGTCAAGAGCCCTGGCCTCACTGTCTGGGTTATAACAATCAAAACCTGTTTCCAGACATTGCCAGATGCTTCTTCAGGGGCAAGATCTCCTTCAGTGGAGAATTCCTGAGAGAAATGTCCCTCTTTCCAGTAAATTCAAATGCACACTTTAGTTGAAGGGGTAATGTTCAATTCCAGATTCAGTACATGAGTCCATATGTATTTTAACATACAGGGTCTGACCAGGGTCCCTTTCTTGACTATATGGAGTTCAGATACCTATCTAATTCTCTCCCCAGTCATGCCAATATTTCTATAATGCTGTCCATATACCAGCTACGGTGTTGCTAAGAATATAGGCATACATAATTGCATATGTATGTGCGTGCGTTTTCATTGTCAAAAACATTATGATACAGGTATCATTGCTATGATAACTTTACAGATGAGGAAACCTAGCTTAGAGTGGTTAAATGACATGGGTAACTAAACAGTAGAAGTGAGATCTGAGTCCCCAAGTCTCTGGGTACTACTTACAATTCTGCACTGATCCTTGTGTTGTAATGGTAAACAATTCTGAGTTTGGGGGTCACTGAGACCCGAGTATGTTCTTTTTAGAACCTCTAGGGTAATCACTCAATGGCTACTAAATATTAGTGATGTTTTAACAGATAAAAATCTAAGCCGGGTGTGTTGGTGCACACCTTTAACCCCAGCACTCGGGAGGCAAAGGCAGGTGGATCTCTGTGAGTTCAAGGCCAGCCTGGTCTACATAGTGAGTTCCAGGACATCTGGGGCTACAGGGAGACCCTCTCAAAAAGACCAAAAAAAAATCTAAAAATCTAAATGATCCTCTCAGATAATAATGAACCAGGGCCAGATGTGGTGGTATACTCTGGTAATCTCAGCAGCTAGGAGACTGAGGCAAGACCATTTTTTGAGATGCTGTCTAAAAATAAAATAAAATAAACAGACAATAATGAACCAAACTAGGAGGATGAACTGTTAACAGAGGCAGAGGCAACCATGCTGTACTGCTCTCACATGTTGGTAGTATTCTACTGTGCATTGTTTTCTAAGAAGTTACAAACCCTTTTAGGGTCAAAGAAGGTAAACAAACACAAAAGGAGGTCTTTTTCTTGGTCATCCCTTTCTCTTCTTCTGTCAACAAGGACTGTAAGAGCATCATTTGGCAAGCAGAGCCTCCTTTGTCCCTACCTTCAAAAGCCTCTTCTCCTTACCCTCTCAAGGTGACAACAGCCTGCTGAAGTCCACATTGCCCAAAGCTATAAAACCACCACACACTTTTGCCATAACCAGT